GGATCTTCCTTCTCAGACTAATTTCCGTCCTTCGCCACCATGCGTTTCTCAGTTGTAAGAAGGCTGTTCTGTCGCACTCAATACGATTCCGGATTTCGGATGTAGCCTGACCATTGGGCAGTGTAGTGGTTCCAAGATACTTGAACTCAGGAACAGATTCGAGGAGTTGTCCATCTAAGGAGAGCGACGGGGCGGACTGGGTGACTAAGGATGAGAAGTACTTCGTCTTGCTGATGTTACTTTCGAGGCCGATCACAGTGGCTGATTTGTCGACCCTATTCAGCCGTGACTGTAGTGATATAGCATATTCTACAAGGATAGCGATATCGTCAGCTAATTCTAAATCTGACGGCCAGAAGTCAGGGCTAACTTGAACAATACTGTAGCCCTCAAAGGCATTGGAGAAAGTGGGCAACCTTGCCCAACTTCAGTATTGATATCGAATTCCTTTGTTTCTTCTCCAAAGACCCGAATATGGGCCTTCGTACAACAGTCGTGTGATCTCATCAAGTTAAAGAGTTCAACCGACACGTCATCGGCAAATAGGATACTCCAGAGTGCTTCCCAACTGATACAAACACAGCACAAAAAGCAATGAAGAACACAAACGTGGGCTGCTGGAGCTGGTGGCAGTGTTCGATTACCCTAGGTAGAGTGAAGCTTTGGCCAATGCAGCTTCTGCTTGATCGAAAGCCAACTTGGTTACGGCGAGTCCTCAGGTTTCTCTCATTAGCAAAGCGAGAAAGCAAGATTCGTGGGAAGGTTTCGGCAGGCACACCGATTAGACTAATCCCGCGATAATCACTGCACACAGTTCGGTCAACTTTCTTTGGAAATGGCAGAAGTATTGAGGTACTCCAAGTGCAACTGTAGCCTTGTAGAAGGTATATAGTGGTTACCCTGGTAATGATATTTGGAAGTCAGGTAATCGAAGAAACATAAGACTGAGGAACTTGTGCAGAAGCACACCGTATAGGTGTTTTAAAGCAATGTACTGTATCTAGGGAATATTAAGCTCCCCATCTGTTTAAAGGTACAAATTTCGACAGATCTGCAAACCATAGCGATGCCCGCAAATTTGTCGTTACGAAGCTGGCCGACATACCACGGTATCCCTTGTGGATCATGTCAACGTATACACATAGGAGAGGCATCTCCTAATCGGGAAGAAATAATTCTTGTAAAATTCACTATATACAGTTTATAACTTGTTTGTCAGCAGATGAAATATGTATCACTTTCATACCATTGAAAGGGTTCTCCTGAAAACAAATTATCTATCACTTAGTTGTCCGCCGTCAACTCTTTGAGACAGCATAACGCATCATATTTTGTGTCGCTGCAATACGTGCGATAAGGCCATACACGTGGTGTTAGTTTGCTCGCGTCCATAACCCCCAATCAATGACACCATGTAGATAAATGATCTGGGCTGCCGACAGCAGAACTCAAGTGGATGCCACTAGGAAATCGACTGGATGAAATGCGCCAATTTATGAGTCTCTTGTTGATGCGAGGTATAAAATGTGCTTGTGTCTTTCTAAACAAAAGAATGTTGACCGAGGTCCAGACTTTGTTTTTATTCATGGAGGGCTACAACGACACTACCCAATAGAGTTTAAAATCCAAGCATACATGTTTTTTGCAAAATTACGCAATGCGTTCCATAGTGCCATGACAGCCGTCGGAAGTATTCCGTGCGTTGACACCCCGCATAAGCGAAGCCTACAGTGGGATGAACACTGTTCCGGTGTTGGATAAACTACATTTTCTGTTTTGCCCAAACGTTGCGGTCGAGCTGCTTCGTCATATCACACCAACTAATTTTCACCGAATGTCGTGGTTGACACAAAATATCAAAAGTGTTTGCTACGAGTAATGTGATGGTCTAGATCCCTATGCCGTCGTTTGGTATATCTGGATTTCGCATAGTAATGAAATTGTGTTGTTGGTTAGTACAGAACCGAACGCACCGAAATAAATTATTTGGGTTAAAATCGTGTACAGTATTACTGGTATTCGTCTATTCATGTGGTATTCATGGGGTATTTGGTAAGATATTGCTCCATTTTTCAAAAGCAGGACGGCTTCCAATAGAAACGATCATGTATTACGGTGAGCTTAAGCTAAGCTGAATCTGTCAATAATTTAGAAACAATTGAAGCACAGATTAATTAGAGGCTCCTGGCCCTCAAGCTTGTCGCATACTCCTTCATTAGCCTAAGGGCTTTAGGAAAGTTGATTATATCCTAGTTACCTACATACCTACTTTCTCAAATTTTACCGGTTTTTGGGAGTTCGTCGCACCTTGTATGATCCGATATAAGATTTGTCTAACTTCTATAAGCCTGGACATGAGTCAAGATTTTCTTGGTTTTCAGGAGACGACCTCAGGAGTGATCAACTCAAAGCTATCCGTGCTGATACTTTCACGGTATGATGTGTGGAGATAGTAGACGGTCACATAACACTGCAACATGACATAGATGGCTTGCATACCATCGACTCAGGACAGGTAGCAATTTAGTGGTTAGCAGATATAAACTATCGATTATGAGCCATTAGATCGCCTGCACATACTGGGGGAATAGATGACTATTGCCGCGCGATTCCCGCGAAGTTGTACTAGGAGTGCTAGCAAATGTACACCTGTGTGGAGGGCATTTGTGCAGCTCGACCACACCGTATATCCGCAAAGGCGCGAATCTACTAGTAGAAAATGGTATGCAGACGTAAGAACCAGTGCAAAAGAATGAGCCTGAGATCCAATAACGAAGGGCTGTTAAAAATATGAGGGGATTACTCCACGTTCCGTACTAACTTAGGCTCGTGCTATTAAGGGCCGACTGCAGAAAATATTGGTCTTTGCGGAGACATCGAATCTTGCGGTATCAAATCATCAAGGTTTCTAATCACGGTTATAGTCACCTATGGAAACTATGCCACTAAGTCAACAAGAGGGGACTCCAACTATTGTTCGTCTGCAAATGCAACCAGGTGAGATATCGCCAGTCGTGGAGCACTCTGCAGACATTTTGATTTCCGTTCCTATGTTAAGGTATTCAAGGAGGGACTTACTGATATATTAATTCATATAATTTGCATGCTCAAACTACTGCCGAAATCTTTCAAGTCTTTCCAGTATTTCTAGGCCTGCACTGAAGCGCCTCCCCTGAGGATGGTTACACGAATGGCCGTATTACTTTACCTGAACACTTGTTTAAAGCTGTATTTGGCATCGTTCCCAGCTTCTCAAGGTCTCTAATACCTTAAACCTACCAATTACTAAAATCCGTTTTCCTTCTACTGAGTAAAGCGCGAACAATAACTTATTTTGTGCCATATTGCTGTACACATTGATCAGTCCACCTGATTTAACTGTGCCTCTCACAGCCGAGGAATATACCACTTTTTATTTAATTGTGATATAGAAGCAAATGTTGGTAGCTCAGGTTGGTCAGCTAGTGGTCTGAGTGTTCGCTAAGCTAGGCAGTTTAGTTGCAAACGTTTCGTTACCACCTAAGTTGACATCGTCAGTGCGCGTTTATATAACAGAGCAGTGCGATTCGAAGCGTCATTGAGTGTGAGTGATCGATCTTCCAGCCGTCAGTCTGAGTTTGGATGGTTCGCTGGGCACAAGACCATCGAACTTGATCTCTGATTCTTGCCTCGTAGCGTACGTGCGCGGGCCTCTTCGGTTGCCATCGTACTTTGACGTATTTTCCGGTGTTCTGTTCCGTTAGATTTATTTAATTATTTAACTGTTCGGATATTACATAAGGTACCCAAACTTTGTGTAAGTCCACCGATAGGCAGTACCTTTTTAGAAGCACACGAAGTTTGTTTTTTTCATTTCGCTTACGGGACTTGTCAGACATTTATTTTGTACTCTTGAGAAATTCATTGTTCTTTTCCCATTGCCCTTTGTTCTATCGTTCCATTGCTGGTAAATTCAAGTGGGGATCGTTTTGGAACGCACGCACACTTTCCATCTCTGGATCTTCCCTCCGCTTCAAAAGGCGGTGGTCAGATGATATCTGGAATCCGGTGCTGAGGCTCGTGTACTCATCTCTCTAGTTATATCACTTGCACATAAGCATGTCTAGCACATCCATCAGTAGTTGTGAAGCTCAGTAGGACGCCATCTTATCAGTTTTGGTATGCAGGCTGTGGAATTGTAAGTGGGTTGTCAAAGGTTTCAATCCTTGTACGATAGGCGGCCTACCGTACCAGTCACGGTGGACATCGCTTGAATTTCACGGACTGAGGGTAATCTTGGTCATGAAGTTTGACAATCGCGTGGTATGCGAATGAGATAGCAACTTCCGTACATCTCTCAGAGCAGCTACGCTCGGATGTGGCACAAGAATTACCATTAGCGTAACCACAGTTGGTTGCTTTGCCATCTCGAAAGAACAACAATCCTTGCCGTGGCTCAACTCTACCAATGGAAGCTGTTAAGCTAACATGCGTCAACGTGCCGGATGGCACTGGCAATTAAAACGGAACGCATGCTAGACCTGGTTTGATCTGAGTTGGTCTCCATTGATGAACCTTCCCATTGGATAGACGTTATTTGATTTGACCATCTGGATGATCTCTCCGTCCGTTGTAGAAAGGACCACACGCATCCCTTGTACTCCGAAAGTCACGGGTTCGAGCTTGCGACCGTCGCAGTATACTGGTGGTGGTTACGTGACACCGAAGCTTCGGTACTGTGTATCGGTGAAGACCATTCTTCAGCATACTTCTTCCCGTCGGCTTTGTTCTTGAACCCCGGAAAATGGGCAATGCGTTGACAACTATCACACCGCGGGCCAACAGCTCGACCCAAGTTACATGCTCTGTCAGACTGTAGCTCTTTGGCGTGAATTGGACTTACACAGCTTAATAAACCGACTTGGGCTAGGCCTCTGCCATTGTTTGCGATAACGGCACGTGGGTAGTTGGATAATGAACCTACAGTGATCACGTGGCTAAGGCAAGTGGTGTGTAAAAGTTTTAAGCTCTAGCGATCAATAGATACACTATATCTGGCCGGCTTCCCAGATGGGGAACTGCACCTGCCGCACACAAAGCACAAACAAAATCAACGAAAACATCATCCTACCTTCAACAATTCCTGAGGAAATCCCTGACGCCCGTGGGGACTGTGCGCGGTCGGTTGGCACTTTGACAGAGGTTATCAAGAAAGCAAAAGGGACGCAGTGCCAGATACTTCAACCAAAGAAAGTGAACAGAATCAGCTGCTTTCCCACTCGGTTTTGTCATTGTATTTGTGCTATCCCAATGTGCAGGGCGACACCACAAATGTGTCAACAAAAGGAACTTGAAACAAGCTGTTGCAAACTATCGACTCACAATGCATTGCCCTTGTTAACAGTCCAGGAGCATAAAAAATGTGAACTTTGCTTAACGGACTGTTCTTCTGTTGGACATAATAAAAATGAGTCCGGTCTGCAATGTGAGTGTTTTGAATATGAACCATATTTATCAACAAAGCAATCGTTGCAGACACGGCAAGACAGTTACCGTTGCAACCATATCGCTAGTGCATCCGCTCCAGGAGATTACAGTAATAACAAAGATAATTCTCATCCGAACTTTGCCATCAAAGTAGCAAAGGTATTCCCACAGACTTCCAACGATCAGTTGACGGCGCATTTGCCTCGTCAAGACGAGCCTAGTCTAATGCCCAGAGTTACCTCATTTCCTAAGACGGACACAGCGTACGGATTGATAGTCAACCCAAGGAGTAGATCAGCTCCAAACCTACATTTTGTGTGCACATCTGATGAAATCCCGACGAGAGGCCATTTGGAATACACGTGGTCAAGAGACCCTAGTGTTGCTGCCAAGGGTGCTTCACTGACTCGTAGCAATTCATGTAGCGCGCTAGTTGATGAGAAAACACCAAATTACTGGTGTCCAGCGCAAGTTAAGAGTGCCAGGTTACAGCGAAATCGATACACGCACTCCCCTGTGTCACGCAGTTATTCTCCCCTAGTAAAGCAGCTGGAAACAATTGATGAATTCTTTCCTTTCCACCCTCGCTGTCATGCAACCCACCCCAGAAAAATACGTCGTAGCTCCCCAAAGAATGTCCTTCAGCGGAATCATTTCCCCGGATCAACACCATCACAACTCACGTATAATGGCAGTGTACCTTTCAAGTGTCTAAATGCAGTGTTTCACTCATTTCACACAATACCAACGACAGGAAGTATAGCAGATAACTTTCATCCCACGTGCTTAGCTGAAAGAAACCAGCCTACCATTGAGGCAGACGTATTTAATCATGAAAATTGCTACTGTTTCTATGGATCTCAACCGAGTTTTCCTTGTTCTGGCAACCGTTGCTCTGCACATTCTCAACCATTACTGGGCCACTGTTGGCATGATCCTAGTTGGACATATTACCAGAATTTTGCGCAAATTCCACCCTCGTCCCAATCCTGTGTCGGCTACTGTCCTTATTACCTAAAACTACGTCACCAATCAAGCCATAACGCAAGGAAGACAAAGCAGCCTGGTGAATTCAATGCGACCAAATGGTCGCCTGCAAAATATCGGTCGGTGAAACCTGACTGTAGACGGTCAAGATCGATCAGTCAGACCAACACAAGGCAGTGCTTAGCAAAACCGGAAACAAAGTTGGCCGGGGAGAAAACATTATACTCAAGTCACCCCAGTGACTCATGTAAACACCGATTTTATCTCAAGGACTCTTATGGAATCGATAGAGTGCTGGCTGATCCTTGTGACAGACGCATTCGGGCTATATGTGATCGATTCCAGTGTGATCTAGAGGTGTATTCAAAAATACCCAAAAGCGGATACATGCAATATGTGATTGACATATCCTCACCTTCTCTGTGGGCCCTACACTGTTGTGCAAGGGCTCTGGACTCATCATTAAACTGGTGTCTCTCACCACAGCTAGCCCAAACACCTGTGAGTAGCACGCTGAGTAAATCCCCATAGAAGTGAATGCTTTCCTGCTTAGCGTTCAATGTCTGCTTTGTAGACCTCAAGGAATTATGCGTGTAGTGCATACGTTATAACTGTTATGCAGAAGTAGGTAGCATCAAGAGACATACCATCACAACAGTAGTGCATTAAAACACAGTGACCGTAGGGTAGACAAATCAATCAAAATGGCGTTTAAGAATGGGAAAGCCAATATTACATATTGTAGTAATAGTAGTATAAACAACAGTCTAGTCAAAAGACAAAGAGCTAAAATAACAGAATAGAACTAACTATAATAAGACAAGTTTAATCAGCGCATCATTATTATGGCACATTAGCTGAAGGTGAACAACACACTTCAGCTATTGTGCCGCAATGAACGAAAAGAAACGGGACATTTCTGCTATTTTGCAAATACTATTTTTTATTGTTTTGTATTTTTCAACCGTTAAACAGTATGCATCTAAAGCTATCAATTATGTACACAGATCCTTCACTGCTTTCGATTGTGTACCATATCCTGTATTGCTTCCAGCAATCGGCACTCTTCGTCCTTTGGTTCCCAACCAGGTAGATATGTGAATCCAACGGTGGCAAGACATGAAGTAACCCATTTCATATGCTATCATCAAGTGGACGACTGCACATGGTCTCTTTCAATCAAGCCTTTCACGGGCGGAAACGGCCTAGTAGGGAAAACACTCCGCTGACATACGCACAACATGACTGAGCAGTCTTAACGGACGCGGGAAAACTAGCTTGTTGAAGGGAAGACTCGCATTCCCTGAAGCACGACGTCTGACTCCACTGCTGCAGCCACGTTGATGCCTCCACACAAGAGGCTGGCTTGCCGAACTACTTCCTCGTGATGCTAGCTGGGTGGTTCGGGTTTACCTCATTCCAGCCAAGTCTTCGGCGACAGTGCTTCACTTCGTTGGGCCGTTGTGGTGCAGCAATTGTGCTGATTTCACAGGGCGTATTGGGCCCCTGTTTGATTATCTACCAAAAAAGACGCATGCACTGAACATTCAGTCAGCGACTCCCAATGGGTGCGATTACTTGAATTCGCCTCGCTGCCTTGCGGGTGGGTTATTTAACCATAGGCTAGTGGTGGGGTCCCCTAAGTCAACTCCACAATCCGGTTTGGGCAACCTGGTGGTACCATCCCCTATCACAAAACCATGGACTGTGCTACAACTTGCTCATCAGCTGCCGTTTCTGCTTTCTACATTGACGCGACTTCATTACACTCCAATTGTTTGCTAACAATCTTTACTTTCCATTGCCCGATATATGTGTACCAAAATCTGGCTGGGATTCCGTTTGCGCCGCGAACCACGGAGTTCAACCTGTAGTTCTCCTTAATCCCCGATCCTCGTTCCGTCTGGGCGCTTCAACATTCAAACAATTATACGGATTAGACAGCAAGGCTATCTAGCGCGCACACTAGAGTCCCTCGATGTTGATGTCTGCTGCCTTTCAGAAACCCGATTGCAAGACCCCAGCACTGTGTTTACCTTGACATCCACCAAAGGCTAAGGACTTGGATTTCTGTTTGTTCTCTGGAGCTGTTCGACCGCCGCAAAGAATCAGGTGGCAACGAACGGCGCCGTTTTGCCAAACTGCCACTCAAGCAAAAACTACTCAAGGATCGCGAGGCATGGCAGTCTGAACCTGTTTTAGAGATGGTGACCGCTTCCCTCTCTGGCAACACACAAGCTTTTCCAATTCATTCGGTCAACTGGCCTCAGAAAGTCTGGTGTCAGTGAGGTCATTTGCGAGGTGGATGAGTAACCGATCACCAAATAACATTGGCGTATGGATTGCTGTGCCGAACACTTTCATTCGCAATTCAATTGGCCCACACCGTCCATCAGTGCATGTAGTACACCTAGTTATTCACGCTGGCTCGTCCCACTGAATCCACGCAACGAAGCGGAAGTCCGCCTCAAGCTTCGAGGCTTGAAGCGATTCAAGGCTGCCGGCTCAGACAGACTTCTTCCAGTGCTGTTCAGATACGGCGGCGTGGTGGTCATTAACCAACTGACCTCGCTTTTCGAAAACTCATGTATGAAGAGAAATTGCTTTCCTCTTGGGGCAAAGCAGTTATTGCCCAGATTTTCAAGAAAGACGCTAGCACTTAATTAGTAACTCATCGCGCGATTAGTCTTATTTCGGTTGCCTCCAAGCTATTGGCCTTTATTCTGCTCCGTAGACTATCCCCACTAAGAGAATAATCCTACCTTGAAGAATAAGCTGGTTTGCGTCCCGGCTGCAGATGTGTGGATCAATTATTCACGCTCTGCCAGCTCCTCGAACATCGCCCCTGTTATTGTTGTATTCCTAGACATGCGTGCCGCTTTTGACCCCGTTGATGGACCGGTATTCTGACGTTGCTTGCTAAATAACGGAGTGCCAGAGAAATGTACCGCCATCTTACGTGCACTTTACCTTCATACATCTGGCAGAGTGAGCATCTTTGGGAAGCTTTCCTTGCAATTCGCTGTCAAAGCGGTGTGCGACAGCACTGTCCCCATTCCTCTACAACTTCGTAATCGAAGACGTTCCATCGAATGCTGTAGAAGGTTACCAACATTTTGGCCTAGAGCTTCTACCGAGTGAGGTCGCGACCGACTTAGATAATGCTGATGATATCGCCTTACTTGGTGACGACCCACAGGTTATGCAACTCATTCTGCCTCGTTTGGCGGTTGATGCATCCAAGAATGGAATGAGATTCGCCCCATCGAAGTGTAAAGTACTGATCCATGATTGGCCTACACCTTCTCCCGTGCCCAACTTGAACAGGTAGATAGTTTCGTCTACCTAGGGAGCTGTGTTTCTGCTGACGGCACTATCAACAAAGAAGTTTCTCTTCGTATCGCTAAAGCTCGATCAGATTTTGTCATACTGAGGCAGTCGTAGCGTCTTCGCAACACCTCATTCGCGCTAAAGGGCGGCGTTTACACTTGGTGACGGCATATTACATCGCTGATGTCGTGTCTACCGGTCGTTGGTGTTGAATACTGCCTCTTGAATACGTCAGGTTCTAACAATGTGATACCAACTCTCCTAGTCGGATGAACGAACGAGACTCAGAATTATTCTCTCGCACAGCACGGTAACCGACAATCTCGAAGTCTGTGGGTTCTCGGAACTTAGCCGCGAAAGATTAATTCACGCGAGTCGAACGGGTTCCTAGACCGAACGCAAAGTTTCTACGCACGATTTCCCAACCCAAGACTGAATCAAGGACAAGACAGGCCTTTTTCCACAGGCGCTTTTACTGGCCAAAGCTAAGGCGATTCTAGCGTTCCACAGCCTCATTTTTATATCACGAAACGGTGATGAACGGGGGTTTTCCCTTGGAAGGGTTTGCGTAAGCAAACCCTGGAAGCAAGAAACATGGTTTCATGTAAATATGCAAAGTCCGTAAACTGAGCAGAAATGTTGGAAGTTTGGTGAGAGTTGTCCGGAAAAATAAATGTTGCTTGCATACAACAATGCGTGTTTGGTTGGAAACAAGACTGTATCTGGGTGCAAAGGCTAACAATGTGAATGTTTCACGAGTTGGAAGGCTGACTGAAACGTGTGCGTTTTGTCTGATCCGAGTACATGTGCACTTGGGTGAATCGGGTTTTCAGCCTTCCGTAATTTCAGTCTTTAATAATTATAGGGACGTTGGGCCCCATAACTTCCCCCCTTTAAGTTGAACATACCGTTTGAGTTTCGGGTCGATCTGTATTCTTTCGGTTGTTCGACGGATGCGTTGTGATCTGCAAGGAGGAATCGGCGGTGCGAGTTCCACAGTTTCCGTCTGTTGCCCTGGAATTCCGAAAGTATCCAATGGTATGTGCAGGGGTGTTTTTGCGGTCGACTGAGGTGGTTTTTTGAGTGTTCCATGTCGCGGTCGAAGTTTTTTTTGATGGCGAACCCAGGTGTCATCTCCTACAACGATATCATATAGCATACTACCACAATGGCCCGTTACTGTAGCTTCGATCCAGTGTGGGTGACCAGCCCCGTAGTCATGGGCAAAAACCGGAGCTCCAACGGCGTAGCCCTTGCACTTGGTGTTGATTTTGGATTTCACCGGTGGCACTTTTGTTGGGATTAGTACGTCCTGTGTTGTGCGCAGTTTCCGACCCATCAATGCTTCGGCGGGTGATTTCCCTCCTGGAACTGTTGGATTAGGTGTGGTCCTGTAGACGAACAGGAAAGCCTGAATAATGGTTTCTGTAGTTCCCTCCCCTCGAGCCTTTAAGAGCGCTCACTTGAAAGTGTCGACAAAACGTTCCGCTTGACCATTAGACTGTGGATGATGGGGTGGTGATCTGAGTTGCTGCACCCAGTGAGAGCGACAAAAATCTTCAAATTGGGATGACGTGAACTGCTTTCCGTTGTCGGACACTAGAACATCAGGGAATCCATGTTGACTGAATATGCGTTGGAGACGAGTTATTGTTGCGGTGGTAGTCGGAGAATTAATTGTTACGACTTCAGGCCATTTAGAGTACGCATCAACCAGGACCAGATAGGAGGTACCATCAATTGGACCAGCATATTTATATGTATTCGAGACCACGGTTTCTCTGTTGGTTGCCAGGGGGCTGGTGGTTGGTGCTGTGGCATCTTGGCTGCTTGTTGACACCTGGAGCAACGGCGAACCAAATCTTCAATGTAGCTGTCTATCCCAGGCCAATAGACGAAACTGCGAGCGATTGCCTTCATTCTGCTGATACCAGGGTGTGTAGAATAGAACTGACGGAGCACGGCTTGTCGAAGGTGGACAGGAACGATGACTCGATCAGCGGTCATAAGGCAGGAGTCAACGACAGAGAGGGAGTCCCGAAGCTGGAATGGGTGCTTGAATTCTCCTGAGAAGGTAATGTTAGGCCAACGTGTCTGAACGTAAGCGATAGCTTGGCGGAGGACAGGATCGTGTGCAGTTTTGCGACGTATGTCGGCGGCTGTAAGAGGAAGGCAGCGGATAGTGTCTGAAAGCTGACGACGAAATTCTTCTTC